CGGCCCGGGTGCCTCCCGGCACACCTGCGGCCGCTCACGGAAGGACGGGCTGTGTGGCTGAGTGACGCGGAGGGCGGCCAGCCCTCCTGGGCGCCCCCTCCGGGAGGGCACGGTCTCGCGGAGCGTCGGGAGAGCGGAAACTCAAAATCGGGCCCCGACGGCTGACTGAAGTGACAGGACAGACAGAGGACGTGGCAGCAAGACGCGAGGAAGACGCTACGTGGAAAGTTCGAGCGATGAAACTCTCTGGGTTCCAAGTGATGAGAACTCGCCTCGCGCCAGAAAACGTAAGATAAAGCCCATGGCCTCCTCAGAACGGGGCAGCACCGCACGCACCAGCCCCTGGCGGGACAATGGGACGCCAAGACCTGCCTATGGTGGCGACGGCGCCCCCATAGGGCTCTGGGGGGTGTCGCACCTTCGTCCTGGGAAACAACGCACTTTTTGTGTGCGTGTGCCCGGGAATTCTAGGACCACCCCCACCCCAACCCGAGTCCAGTCAAACTTAAGTCAGGTTTTGCTCATTTGCCACAGTTTCTTCACCTTTATATGCCTTGTCACAAGTTGTGTGCGTGCTTGTTTCATGTCTGCCCAACTGACTGGAAACTCTGTTAGCACAATTATCATATCCATTTACCATAACTTACCCAGTTTAGCCTAACGGCTAAACCCAGCTGGGGAGCAAAACCTAGTGATCTGCTTTGGTGAACATGACAGCGCCAGCACTTAAAAAAGAGCAGCCCACACATGGCACATGAAGTCTCCATGACCATGAAGTTGATTTTGACTCAGAGTGAGCCAACATAGGATTTCCAAGAATATAAATCTTGATGGGAGTAGACAGCCTCATCTTTTGCCCAAAGATGGGCTGGAGGGTTTGAACTGCCAACTTTGAAGTTAACTACTCAATACCTAACCGACAACACCACCAGGACTCCTTTGTTTTTTCATTTTCCCCCCCAAAACCCTATTATCGGGAGCTAATAAAATATCATACCATTCCATAGTTTAATCACATCAAGCAATAGTGTACAATTGCTACCACAGTCGGTTTTATAACATTTTCTTCCTTCTTGAACTCCTTCATATCATCTCCCCTTTACCCTCTTACCCCACTGCACCCCCTGGGAACTGTTATTTTACTTGTCTCTATAGGTTCATCAATCCTTTTTTTTTTTTTTTAACATTTTATTAGGGGCTCATACAACTGTTATCGCAATCCATACACACATCAATTGTGT